AAATTCCATGCAATATCATTCATCCTATGACTTAAATATGCAACTCCATACATGGGAAGGGCTGTCATGAACACTCCTCTTACATCTGAGATTAAAGGTGGGCTTCTGGCCGCTGTGGCAGCAGCCCTTTTCTGCCTCTGGCCCAAGTGCTTTGTGTCAAGTTATCACTTGAAATGATATAGGAGGCCGGACCTAGGGTGGCCAGATGACAAGTTCCACACCATCTCTCTGGAAGCCACAGATACACTTTATCTCCACAAACCCACACCTGGTTTGACGGGCATGGATAGCCCCAAAAACCCGGGACCTCCACCAAAAAAGCTGGGTATGAGTGCCAGTTGGCCACTCCACTGACCTCACCCACTTTAGTGAAATTAATCACTGGGAACTCCCGTGCGGTCGGAGTAGTAGTGAAGTATAATCTGTGATGTACCTCAGAGGTTTGTTGGTTATATGTGGCAATAGGCAGAACATCATCACAGGTGGATGTTCCTACATATTGGTTAGCATCCTCCCAGGGCCCCGGCACATTGCATTTCCTACTCAGACACAGAGGAGAATTGGCTGGAAAATCGAGCCACAGTCACACCTTTCTCATTAGTCATATTTGTACTTAAAGAAAAGTTCAATGGAACTCTCCAATCTGCTACTTTTGAATTGAAAGAGTAGTGCAATTTGGCAGCCATTCCACATATTTTAGAGTAGTTCATGCCAATTGAATGTAAGGTATAAAAAGCCATAGTGCATATAGTTGTTAAAGCTGAGACTGGATGTGGTGTTATATAAGGATTTGAATTTGAATGATGAGGAACAAATGCACAAACATAAAACAATCTGACATATTGTTTGCCTGAGCCGTTATTTCAGCCATGCGATACCAGTAGTTGTCTTTATAGTGATCTACATCTATTTCTGCTCTAGCTGTACGCTTGACATTATTATATTGTTGACTCCCCCACCAGAGCAGTGATGGAACCACAATAACTATCAATGTAATCAGCATTATTAGACCACTACTGCATCGAAGTCCATGTCGAGTGGAGAATACTTTGAAGACCATCTTGTAAACAGTCCTTTTCGAAACAGTCCAATTCACCAATATCACAAGATGAGAGGTTACCAGCACATCATCAAGTTGTACAAACTGTGTTTCTTGTGCATTAAACCACTGGAGGATCTCCCTGCTTCACTGACTGTTGAGACGAGCACGTTTGCCCCCTTTGTAGGTCAGCCTTCCCCTCCGCTGTGGTTGACACAAAATCTCTCAGATTTCTCTTTTTGCAGTGTGAGAACAGTGCCAGTGGGTGTCGTCAGAAGCACTTGATGCGGACCTTCCCACCAGTGGACTGGACCATGACTTTCGTTTGATGACTTTCACAAACACCCAGTCTTCCAACTCGAATAGGCAGCTCCTGTGCACAAAATGGTTGACTCGGAAATTATTTGTTTTTGACACGCTCTAGTCAATAATGTTTTCTCATATAGTCAGCCACGTAGGATTATCATCAGGGAGAGAACTGTTATTTCTGAGTAGGTGTTATATGCATGCTTAACTGTACCAAGTCTATGCATTCAGGCCATTGTCTGTTTGTTTCCATTTCAACTAAACCTGGCACTTTGTGGATGGTAGCTACAATGTCTTTTTAGATTTATGTTGAGATTTTGTCCCACCTTATCAATCACATCATTTACAAAATGTGTTCCATTGTCACTCCTGATAACTCTGGGAATCGAAAATGTTGGCACAATTCTTTTACATATTGCTTTAGCCACTGTTAGAGCGTCCGGAGAGTGACAAGGAAACAATTCTACCCATTTGGAAAATGCATCAATAATCACGAGGCAATATTCCAAATTATTCACTTTATTTAACTGGATAAAGTCCATGTGAATTTCTTCAAAAGGATGTGTGGGTTTAGGAAATACCCCCCTTTTTGGTCTCATATTTCCTTGTGAATTGTGTTTTATACAGATTACACACTGATTACAAAAATGTTTTGAGTATAAATTGTACCCATATGTTGTGTAATATTTATTCACCAATCCACACATACTTGCAGAAGAAACATGGGTTACTCCGTGGCTCACTAAAGCCGCCCATTTAAACATTGATTTAGGTAGAACTGGCTTATCGTTTGGACCCATGTACAAACTCCCATTGAATATAGCTCCCTCTTTAAGCCATTTCTCTTTTTCTGCTTTTGGCGCTTGTTGCTGCATTTCTTTTAAAAGATCGTCAGAAACTTGTGTTTCTTCACTAAGCAGTAATCCTGTTACCTCTTTTGCAGCTTTATCAGCTGTGTCATTTCCTGTTGACACTTTGTCTGTCCCTCGCGTGTGAGCTTCACATTTACATACAGCAAGCTGCTGTGGCAACATTATCGCTTTGAGTAAATTCTTTAATAATGTTGCATGTTTTACATCTTTTCCCGCAGAAGTTTTATAACCACGATGTTTCCACTGTTGACAAAACAAATGAACTGTAGCGTATGCATATTGGCTATCAGTATACACCGTTAATTTCTTATCTTTATGCAATTCACAAGCTCTTGTTAAAGCTACTAATTCTGCTGCTTGTGCAGATAAGTTACTTGGAAGTACTTTTGCTTCAATTGTTTTATCCACAGTGGTAACAGAGTATCCTACATGATTTTTCCCAAACTCATCTTTCCCTGCTGAGCCATCAACAAACACTGTAATTCCCTCAGAGAGTGGCATGTCCTTTATATCAGGTCTTGGACGGAAGTCTTTATATGCTTCTTGAACACAATCATGTGCAGTGCCATCTCCTTCTGTTGGAATTAGAGTAGATGGATTTACTGTATGACATCTCTCTACGGTCACATGTGGTTGTGACAGCAGGAGTGTCATGCAGGAAAGGTGACGGGCTGGTGATAGGAATGTCATGCTTGTTTGCAAAAGTAGCATTGACACAGCATGTGGTACTTTCAAGGTCAATGGGTGAAACAGAACAACTTCAGCAGATGCCTGGACAGCTAATGCTGCAGCCAAAACCGCTTGGACACACACTGGAGTCGCTCTGGCCACCGGGTCAAGCTTCGAAGAGTAATAAGCAATTGGTCTTTGTTTTGACCCCCATTTTTGAGTCAATACTGATGTCATGAATCCATTTTTACAGTCAACTGTCTGTTCAAATGGCTTAGAGTAGTCCGGCAAAGCTAAAACTGTTGAGCTAGCTATAATTCCTTTAATTTTGCTAAAGGCTTTGACTGCTTCATCAGTCCAATGAATGTTTTCTTTAGGTGTCATTGGCTTTTCAAAAATTAAATTTTGTAATGGTCTTACTAATTCTGCATAATTAGCTACCCATTGCCGGCAATAATTACATAACCCCAAAAATGACATCATCTGTTTTTTAGTTTCGGGTCTAGGTGCAGCTAAAATAGAAGCTTTTCTTTCCCCATGGATTAACCTTCCATCTTTGGTTAATGTATGACCTAGGTATTTAACTTCTGTCTTCCATAACTGTATTTTATTTTTGCTGACCTTATTGCCAGTTTTAGCCAAGTGTTTCAGTAAAGCTATAGTATCTTTTTTACAGCTCTCAACTGTCTTAGACGCCACCAAAATGTCATCCACATAGCTCAAAATCTGGCTTCCCTCTGGTGGATTAAAATCAGCAAGACAATTTTTTATTGCATCAGAGAAAATAGTTGGGGATTCAGCGAACCCCTGGCTTAATCTTGTGAAAACATATCTTTCCCCTTCAAAGGTAAATGCAAACCAAAATTGACTGTCTTTATGCACTGGAATGGACCAAAATGCATTGCTGAGATCAATCACAGAGAAGATTTTAGCCTCTGGTCATAATTGATTAAGCAGTGTATGTGGATCTGGTACATTAGGTGCTCTTTGAATAACTGCTTCATTCACAGCTCGCAGATCTTGAACCATTCTCCAAGCTGCGGATGGAGGTGCCTTTTTAACTGGGAATATTGGTGTGTTACAAGGGGAATCTGAGCATTTTTGAATTATTCCTTTTTTAATTAAATCCTGTATTACAGGTTTTATTCCTTCTACTGCATCAGGTTTTAAAGGATATTGTTTTATCCTGGGCCTGTACTCAGTTTTTGCTCTGATCTCCACTGGTAACATTCCCTTAATTAACCCAACATCTGTGGGTCCCTTTGACCACACCTCATCTGGAACTTGCTCAAGCTCCTCCTCCTCTTCCTGTGTTAGAGTCATTAGTCATGCAAGCTCCTGGTCAGTCAGATGTACAGCTGGCGTACATACTACTGTCCAGTTTATCTTTTGTTTTCTCCAGCCAGTTGTTTTACTCCAGTATACTCCTACTTTTTTATCTTGCTCCCAATCTCTAATTGATTCCACTTGACCAACAAAGGCATTGTTATCACTCCACTCTGCCTCTGGGTCTTTGGATATAGAGATATGTGGATTCTGCAAATCTCCCATGAGTTGTTTTACTGCATCTGCCACTCCTACAGTGCAGAAACTTGTTTTGTCTCTCCAGTAAATGTCTCTAATTTGAACTCTCTGCGGACCCAATTTTTTTACAAGCTTATCGTAAACTGGATCACCTCCTGGAGTTGTTTTAAATCTCAGAGTGACATGTAACTCATCATGTTGTTTGACAATGGCACTTGGATTTAATGCCTGTTTTGCCCTTTTTACAATTTCTTTCCCTGATTCACCAGGGTCACTTGTCGGCATGTCCAAAGTCCAACAATACAATACTGATCCCTCCCCTTGTAGGACATGGATATCAGTGTTGCTACAGCGCCTAGCTTCCATATTTCCATTTTTGTTTGGAAATATTCCCATTTTTAATGCAACCATTGCATCACGTCCGAGTAGATTGTATGGGCACAGCGGTGACAGAACCACCCTCAACATGGCTTCATCACATGTTTCTGGATTTGTTATTGTAATCAACTGACTCAAATTTTGTTTTTGCACTAACCCATTAGCTGATCTCACTGTGATTGAGTTTTTTGAAATGGGTATATTGCTCACATCCCTAATCACTGTTTTATCCGCTCCAGAATCACAAAGGAACACATAGGGCCTTTCTTCAATGTAAAGTGTTATTTCTGGTTTAGACACATGAAAAATATCTAATTGAGTGAAATCTATAACCTCATCACATTGCTTTGCCAAATCAGAATCATATCCATTTTCATTTTCAATTATGGAAGTCATTTTTAAATTTGGAATTTTCACTGTTTCATCATTACTTTTTGTCAGAACTTTAGTTTTGTTATTACTCCCTAGTCATGCATTGTGATGTTTTTGATTTCTCCCTTTTTTTTCTACATATTCTTCTCTCTTTTCCCCATCTGAACTTGATTCACATTCTCTGGCCCATGCTTCACATTCTCTCGCCCAATGTCCTTTCTTTTTGCATATGTAACAATAATCATTGCTTTTGTCCAACTTTCTCTCTCTCCTAGTCTTCATCTGCCCCCTCCCTCTGCTTTGACCTCTGCCTCCATTCTGCTCCCTCCTTGCTGATTGGCCCTGTGCTCTCTGGAAACACACATCTCCCAAATCTTGCAAGAAAGAATCCACTGATCTGGCTTGCTCTTCTCTCTCTTTATTTCTCTTTTTATTTCTAGCAACCACTTCAGCATGAATAGCATGTGTTATGAAATCAGGCAGCGTCGCAGTAGGCAATCCAACAAAATTTCTCTTTATCCATTCAGAGACTTCTGGTCTTAAATTAGCCAACATCCCTTGTTTAAACTGTTGATCCCAAATTACACGTTCCGCTGCATTATTGTCTCTCAACCCACTGTGTTTTCTAAAGGCTATTTCAAACCGCACTCTAAAATCTACTACTGTCTCATCCTCCATTTGTCTTACCTGAGCTAACTTCCCATAGTCAGGTAAAGTTTTGAACATTTCTCTGATTTGAGTATGTAGAGTATTTAATCTATCATTAATGAGTGGGTCTGCTGCAGGAAGAAGCACAGGTGGGTTTGCATTATCATTTGGGTTATAGTGTTGTCTTACTCTTGTCCAATCAACTCCCATTTTCGTCATGTAAATGTCCCTAATTTCAATTCCGTTAAGCCTATACATGTCCACCAGTTGTCTCATACCATCGCAAAATCCATCTGGGTCTTCTCTATGGCTTGGGACACTTTCTGTGGCTTTAATTATGTCTGCTTTCGTCCAAGTACGAAAGACATACATAGTAGGCAAACTTCCAACCACTTGTGGATCATGAGTGGGATTTGGGACTTCTATCATTGGGAATGCATCTGCACCTCTCTCTGAGAAGTCAACCCTTGGACTGAAAAGGTTTCCAAAACTTTTGCTCCACGACGCGTTCATTGGAAGCCGTGATCTAGTAGCAACAGGTGTTTGTTCGTCACAGACTT